CTGAGGCTCGGAGACATGTGAGGAGACTGCCCAAGCATCACAGCAAATCACAGACAGAGTTGCACTCAGAAACCAGGTCCAGGCCACCTGATGGCCGGGTGCTGCTGGTAAGCAACACACTGCACTGTAGGGCTGTGGCTCTGCAGTACTATCCAATGGGCTGTGCAATTCACATCACCGACAAAGTGCCAGTGCACCAGCCTCACCACTAAATATATGCATGCTAATTAAATGAGCATTAGATGATATTTGGAGTGTGCTCTTGTTTCTTTCCTTGACTCCCAGCAAGATGATCACTTTTTCTTATTTACTCTCACATGGGTTATGCTATCATATATCCATTCCCACTTATCCTTAAGAGGTTCCTTAGAGAGAGAAGCTCTTAGACCCTGCAGACCAATTCTCCCCAAGGAACCCAGCACAAACAAGTCTGCCCAGTGTTGCCGACCTGCCTCCCCACACCCTGCCCCAACAATGCCAGCCCACCTGGAAGCCTCGAGAGGGCACTTACTTATTATGGGGCAGCCTGGAGCACAAGGTTCTGAGGTCATCTGAAATTAGGAGATACAAGATTAAGGAACAGACTAGAAACAATGTGGTGAAATACTCACTGATGTTCTCTTCAAGGATGCTAGCAAGATAGCATTTGGGTCTTATACTACATTTTCCCAGCATCACATAGAAACTGGGTTCTCCTCTTCTTCAATTTTCGCTTTAACAAACTAAGCCCAAAACAGAAGAAGTCGCTTAGGAAAGAGGGCAGCCCTGTTGGCAGTCAGGTGGCTGGGAAAGAGCCCAAAGGCCAAGCTCTCATGGAACAATCAGGCACCCAAGGTGTTCCAAGAGCAGCGGTAAGGCCAGAAACTCATGGCCAGTGACCATACCTCGGGGCCACAGGCAACCCTGTGGCTTAGTCAACAGTTAAAGAGCAAACACAAGCATGTCATTAGCACCAGATCATTCTCCTGGGAGAGATCAAACGTTGAAATGCAGGAGAATTAGGGAACCATCAAAATGGAAATGTCGTAGGTCTTGACTTGGTATCAGTTACATGAATGTATACAAGGGGTCTTCAGAAAGTTCATGGAAGGATTCATATTATCTTTTAATTAATTTTTTCCACAAACTTTTTGAAGTGCCCTCATATATTTGTCCAAATGCATCAATTAAACATTACATTTAACCTGTGCATTTTATTGTATGTAAATTATGTCTCAATAAAAAAAGGACTGCAGAAAAAGAAAAAAGATTCAAAAGGAAAAATTATCCATGCTCACAAAGAGTCCCCAGTCCTGGGCAAAAAAGAGCCAGACAACATCACGTCTGCAGCATGTTAGGACTCTGACAGGGGTGACGTGGGACAGTGGGGTGAGAGGCCACTAGCGGGTGAGAGGCCACTACCGGAGCTGTTCTGTGACTTCTACCCTCCTCTCTGATCACTAGGAGGAAAGGAAGTCCTAAAAGAAGCAAAAACAATGTCTGTCTTGGAGCTCCTATTTTGTTTCTGCCAGGGTAGTGGTGTCCCTACTTCCAGGAGGCCTGGGCCAGCAATCACCTACCTCTTGTGCACAGCAGGGCTCCCGAGGCCATGGCCACCTGCAAAGCCTGTGCCAGCCGGTCCAGCGAGAGCTCGATCTCTTGGGAAGCGTTCAGAGGGTTCAGTTCATCTGCCAACCGGTTGATCTCCTCTACCAGCGGGACCATGTGGTCAAACAGGATCAGCCCCAGGCGCCCATAAAGATTCTTCTCAGTTAAGTGCAACTGGAGCGTCATGAGAACCTGAAGGACACTGAGGTGGAGTTTTGAGTACAAGAGGTGGGAGTCTCTGTCCATCACCTCACCCGAGTCCTGTGCAACCTTGTTGTTGATGTGGCCATTGGATAAAGAGGGTTTCTTTTTCCTTTTATAAGCCAGAGGGGCCTTCACGCACCAGCGGATCAATCCAATGAGCGGGGTGAGCTCTAAAAATCCTATTGGTAGATTGGCTGCAATCGGAGTATTTAAAAAAGTGATGAGAATCAATCTTGGGTCCTCAAAAATCCAGTTGACAATCATTTCAAGCAAGTCCAAAGGTGGAATGAGATCATCTGAAAACGAAGACCATTAAGTCAGAAGTGTTCTCGGCCTCCAGGACAGGAATAGGAAGCAGAAAGCTGGAAGACAGACCCCCAGGTTCACAGCACTCACCGCCTGACACTGAAATCACTACCTCCTCGCTTGTGTTTTCTCTCTCATTCCCTAGAACATCCACTCCCTGAAAGCTGGGATGCCTGTTTTAGTCAATGTTACATCCCCAGTACCCAGGATCACTTGGCCAAGGCAGAGACTCAAGAAGGACTTGTTAAATCAACAGCTCCCTAGAACTCCATTATGCTTGGAAGAAATTTCCTTCTGTGTCAATTAAAATAAAATTCACTTTTTTGTGTGCAAAACTACCACCACACTTCACCCCTTCCCTTGTGAGTAAGTTTCCTCCTTGTATTCGGTGTCTCCTGCATGGTACAGTGAAAGCTATGGTGACCTTCAGGGTCCTGTCAGTCATCTGTCAGCTGCCAAGGGCCATCCCAGCCCCAAAGCTGGAACCTTCATTTAAGCAAGAGCCTGACCTCCTGTGATCCAAGACTTGGCACACTCTACAGCCTAGACTGAGAACAAGAACAAATGCTGACACTTTTCTGGGCTTATTCTGTGCTAACATTCGTCTTAGTCCTTTATATAGATTAGCTCATTTAATCCTCCAACAACCCCATCTTTTATTCCCATACAAAGGAAGAGGAAACTGAGGCACAGTGATGTTAAATAATTTCCCCAAGACTCAACAAAACTATGTGGTGGCCCAGATCTGACCTCAGCTGTTGCCTGGCTTTTAGCCGTTAGGCTACACAGCCCATCCTGCAAACAGCATGCAATGCCCTTAGGATGCCTGGCTGTGTTCACAGGAGTAAATCCCCAGCCTCCTCTCTCTGGAGCTGTGCACCCCATAGCTTATGGGATAGCTAAGAATGACAGAGCCCCATCTAGGCTGCTGAGGTGATTCAAAGCCAAGCACAAAAAAGGAGAGTGTGGGAGGAGCAAGATACATGTTGATAAAAGGTTTCCAACTGCTCTTTCTCCGGAGACTGGTCTTTTCTCCTGAGATTATTCCTGCTGATTGCTTTAATATTAACCACCCATCATCCCACCCCTTCAGCTGTGAACTGATGTCAACAGTAGGTTGTAGTTGTCGTCTACAATTCTTACTTGGCAATCCCATGTCTGGTGCCTTGACTCCCCCAAGATGTTTCTGTCTGGGAAACGCCAGGCTCACATCCACTCCTCTGGTGTGCCCTCCCTTCCTCCCCCCATCTCAGCTGAGCCATCTCCAATAGCTTGAAGGCAGTGTGTGCAGGTGTACACACGTGCCCTGGGCATACACATAAGTGTGTGTACTTTGTGAGTGAATCCTCAATCTCTACAACCTTCCTACTTAGAGAACCAAGCTCTCGGCACCATTTAGAAAAGAGGAAGTTCTGTATGGTTAGGCAAGCTTCTTCCTTTTTGTAGTTCTGACTCCCCAAGAATGTTCTCCTGTTACCATAACCACCCAAGAGCAGCAGCAATCACCATTCTTATGGTAGCCTCCAGGCCACCACTGTGTGCTCAGTGGCTTGAGAAATCACCAGCATATCAGACTGATACACTGGCTTAAGCGAAAAATACCATGACTTAGATCCACTCTAGCAAGTCAGTGGTATTTCCTGAATATCACTTTCTATTCCATGTGCTAACTCATCCATTGCCAACTACAAGGCCAATTTCTGTCCTTATTGGCCCGGAATAAATGACTTGAAGGCAACTATGATGCTGAAAACTGGGTTTAATTAAATCTTTCCTATTGGAAAACAAAAGCCCTGACTACTGTTCCCAGCTCTTAGGAAGTCTTTGCAGGAGAGTGCCAGGGAAATTCCACTCTAACAGCATGGCCCGCTCTACAGGACCTGTGTCCCATTCCAGTGGCTAAGTGCCATGTGAGAGAGAACAGGAAATCAGCACATAAAGATGGTACATACTTGCATGCTTATGCTATCTCCACACAGACTTTCTCAAAAGGGTTAAAAAGTCCAACAGCAAAAAAAAAATGTTAAAATAAAAGGAAGCTCAAATATAACGAGGGGGCTGATGGAAGACCAATAATGGACCGCACGAAAATGGAAGATATCATTGAAGGCTCTCAAACTGCTGGCTTAGCTATCGGACTGAGGGATAAGAAAGAGACTACTTGCCCTCTGAGCAGCAAGAGCCAAGGACAGAAAAGGAAGAACCTGAAACACAAGCAGAAGAAAGAGCTCTGAGCCTGGCTCTGCACAGAAAGCCACTTGCCAGGGCCCATAACTTCCCACATGGAAATCAAGGCCCACAGTCCTGCCTGGGAGCCACACAGGGCTATAGGCATCACACAAGGACACAGACATGGAAGGACTCTGTGTACTAGAAAGCCATGCTTTCAATCCCTGTTCCTTGGAACCCACCCCCAGAGAAAGAAAGTGGGCAGCAAAGCCCAGTGAGTGGGAGTCCGAGTCCCCTGCCCCAATTCCACCACAGCTGGTCAGCTTCTAATGTTTTTTGTTTTTTGTGTTTTTTCATTGGGAGGGATCTGCTGCTGGACAAGGATAAGGGACCTGTGCTTCTCCAAGCCAAAGCCAAAGCCAAATGCTATCTCATTGTGGTTCCGAGGACCTCTACTGGCATCCTGCTGAGAAAGCCTCAAAAATGTCACTAACAGTAGAACCAACATGCATGTCTCCTAGTGCAAAGCACTGAGGATACACTGTCACCTAGTAATATTGTAGCCAGAAAGTTTAACTCAAATCTTTTCGTAAGGAAACAATCAGACAAATCCAAATTAAGGGACATTCTACAAAACAGGCCTGAGCGCTTCAAAAATGTCAATGTTATTAAAGATTTTTTTTTAAATGCTGGGGAGCTGGTCTAGACTTAGAAAGACCAAAGAGGGCCGGCCCGTGTCTCACTCGGGAGTGTGTTGTGCTGATAATACCAAGGCCACGGGTTCAGATTCCTATATAGGGATGGCCGGTTCGCTCACTTGGGAGAGTGTGGTGCTGACAACACCAAGTCAAGGGTTAAGATCCCCTTACTGGTCATCTTAAATAAATAATAAATAAAATAAAAATAAAAAGACCAAAGAGACATGACGACTATATATAATATATGATCTCTGACTGGACCCTGAATTCTCCTGATCCCTCAAAGTAAAAAAAAAAAAGGCAATAAAAGACATGATTGAGACAATCAGAAAATCTGAATAGAAGTTATATATTAGATAACAGTATTCCGTAGATATTAAATTTCTTAGGTGTGATAACAGCATCATGCTTATGCAAGAGAATGTTGTTCTTAGGAGATATATGCTTAAGTATTTGGCACATGATATCAACAAATTCTCAATAGTTCAGGGAAAAAAAGTGTGTGTGTGTGTGTGTGTGTGTGTGTGAAGAGAAACAGAATTCATGACAAAATGTGAATAATGATTGAATCTAGGTGACAAGTATATGAATATTTGTTTCACTATTCTTATAACTTTTCTGAAGTTTTGAATTTTTTCAAAATAAAAAGTAGGGGATAAAAAAGCAAATTATGCGTCTAGAGAGAAAGCCACGTCTCATCAGACGTCAGATCCTATCTGGCTTTCGGTGCTGTCTGCCGCTTCAACCACTCAGACTGAGTGAGACAACTGGATATCACTAAGGAAAGCTCCCTCTTAGCAAACTGCACAGTGCAGGTGGCCCACACATTTAGCTTTGGGCCCAAAATAAAAACATACATTTCAGAGAAAAAAGTCCAAAGCAGTCAATGAACATTTCACCTGGGTATTCAGTGGCAAATAAAACTAGCAATCAGTTGAATCTCCTTTAACAGCAACAACCTGTTTAAAGTTTACCTGATGACAGGTCATAGAGCGCAGTGACGGAAGTTATGAACTGGCAGCAGAATCGAGGGCTGGCGTTGAATATCTGCTTCAGCGTCTGAACGGATCCGGGCACCAGACAGCAGTAGTCATCCACGAGGGCCCTGGCCAACTTCACACAGTAGACCACAGGCGTCCGCTGCAGAGAAGCCACAGTCACATCACTGCTACGTACATACGGCAAAGACCGCCAGAACTGGCAATACCACTTCCAAGAGGGGAAAAACATGTTAACAGCTTAATTTGAAGCAGGAGTCAGCAACTAAAGCCCACAGGCGAAATCCGTCCCACCACCCCTTTTTGTAAATAAAGTTTCATCAAGACACAGCTGTGTTCAGTTGTTTGCCTACTGTCTAACACTGCTCTCCCATGACAAGGCCAGAGCTGAGTAAGTGTGACAGAGACTGTGTGACCTGCAACATCTAAAATATTTACTATTTTGCCCTTTACGGGAAACGTCTGCCAATCCTTGCTTTAAAGTTTGCTTGGGAAAGATCATTTCTGACTTCAGGTGATGAAATGACAACTTCTGTAACCCTACAGGATTCCAGGTGAGACTCTGCAGGTAAAAATTAACAGTTGTTACCACTCTGAAGAGATTTAGGAGAATTTGTGAACTATCACATGATTAAAATGTTTGTTTAGAGCAGTACTTTCTAAATTTCCCTTACAGTCCTATTCTCCTCAGCAGGTTTCTATAATACTTTTGAACCTACATCACCATCCTCCCCTGCCTTTTTCCTTCCAACTTATATGTCAATTTGTAGCTCTGGCCACGTTCAGCAGCTCAGGATGCTATATAGTTCCAGGGTGCCAACTTGGCCAGCAGGAGAAACTACAGGAGAAACAAGAACGAGAGAGTAAGGCCAGATTGTTTATTCAGACTGTAATTTGCCCCCACAACACCAAACCAGCCATTAAGAACATCAATTTCTCTACTTTTACACAGGAGAAAGCTGCAGTTCCTCACTCCAGCGTGCCAAACCCTGATCCAAACCACTAAGACCTTTTTCTGTTGTTCACATCTGCTTTCATTTTGCCAAAATGCCAGCACAACAGCACCACAAGATAAATTCTTTTTTTTTTTTGTCTTTTTTTGTCTTTTTTCCGTGTCCGGCAACGGATCGCAACCCTCAGTGTTGCCCCCGTACCAGACCGGGGACCGGCAACGGGATTGCAAACCTCGGCGTTGCTCCCGCGCCTCGCTCAGCCAGTGAGCGGGAACCGGTCCAAGATAAATTCTTTAAAAACTATATGATAGGGCCGGCCCGGTGGCGCACTCCGTAGAGTGCGGCGCTTGGGAGCACAGCGGCGCTCCCGCAGAGGGTTCGGATCCCATATAGAGACCGGTCCACTCACTGGTTGAGCGCAGTGCGGCGCGACACTGAGGGTTGCGATCCCGTTACTGGTCACGAAAAAAGACAAAAAGGAAAAAAAAAAAACTATATGATAAATTAGAAGATTTTTTTTTAAAAAAGATGACCAGTAGGGCCGAGCCCGTGGCACACTCGGGAGAGTGCGGCGCTGGGAGATCAGTCCCGCCGCGGGTTCGGATCCTATATAGGGATGACCGGTGCACTCACTGGCTGAGCCCACTGCAGCCAGTCTCAAAAAAGGACAAAAAATTTAAAAAATAAATAAAATAAAAAAATAAAAAGATGACCAGTAAGCGGATCTTAACCCTTGACTTGGTGTTGTCAGCACCACGCTCTCCCAAGTGAGCCACGGACAGGCCCTATATAGGGATCTGAACCCATGGCCTTGGTGTTATCAGCAACACACTCTCCCAAGTGAGCCACAGGCTGGCCCTATATAGGGATCTGAACCCGTGGCCTTGGTGTTATCAGCACCACACTCTCCCAAGTGAGCCATGGGCCGGCCCTAAATTAGAAGATGTTAAACTTGGTTTCACTAGGCTGTCAAGAGATAAAGGTAATTCTGAGATTAAATATAAGGCACATGATCAATTTAGATGCCCCAGAAATTGGATTAGTGAAAATTTAGGTACAGATTCCACTGAGATTTACCTGTGTTCTACAAATAATGTTTTAAATCTTTTTTGGGGGGCAGCTAACCAGTGTGGGGATCCAAACCCTTTGACCTTGGTTTTATCAGCACCATGCACTAACCAAGTGAGCTAACCAGCCAGCCCTACAAATAATATATTATTGCTAGTCAAATTTTAAGGTTAAGTAAGATTACAAGAAAAACATTTAATTAAATTGGAAAAAAATTTTCCAGTACTTGAGAATGAGGCAGGTTTATGAAACTAAATGCAGTTAATTCTGCTAGCTTGGCTAACAATCAGATGATTCAAAATTTTTGACTAATAATTGTTCTAAATGGATTATCAACTTTTCAAAGACTCTGAGTAGCAAAAAAGCAAAACAAAATGAATCTTCCAAAATACCATCTAATTAAACCTATTGTAAATATACATTTTATATAACATGTAATATTTAAAAACAGTCGAGAAGGCTCTTATATCTATATCCATTAGAAAAGCCACCAATTTTGTGATGTCACACTGTTCTACTGTAAAACAACTCACATGCTTACTCACCTAACTTGTCAGTAACAACTTCCTAATGACAAGTAAACATTGTCACGATTTGATATATAATAATCCTTTTTAAAAAAATCTTATCTTTGAGACTACATGCATACTTTTTCAAAATACTACCTTATCATTCTCACCTAAGAAAAAGATTTTTCAGTTGTTCTGAAGATTGGACCTTTTCTTTTTTCCTTCATAAAAAAAAAAAAAAAAAAAAATCATTTACCATTACAAACTACTATGTTCTCAAGAGTGGTTACTTTCTCTATATAAAAATGGGACTATGGTGCAGCTATCAGTACACAAGGCAGTAATGATCAAGGAAGTAACATAAGAGGAAAAGACCTCGAGAAAACCAATTAAATGAAAATTACTAGGGCCGGCCGGTGGCGCACTGGAGAGTGCGCCGCTTGGGAGCGCGGTGGCGCTCCCGCCGAGGGTTCGGATCCCATGTGGAGACCGGTTCCCGCTCACTGGCTGAGCGCGGTGCGGGCGCAACCCCGAGGGTTGCGATCCCGTTGCCGGACCCCGGTACGGGCGCGACACCGAGGGTTGCGATCCCGTTACCCGTCAGTAAAAAAAGACAAAAAAAAGGAAAAAAANCCTCAGCGTTGCTCCCGCGCCTCGCTCAGCCAGTGAGCGGGAACCGGTCCAAGATAAATTCTTTAAAAACTATATGATAGGGCCGGCCTGGTGGCGCACTCCGTAGAGTGCGGCGCTTGGGAGCACAGCAGCACTCCCGCGGAGGGTTCGGATCCCATATAGAGACCGGTCCACTCACTGGTTGAGCGCAGTGCGGCGCGAC